AACATCATGCTTGGTAAACTAGAGGGTCAGTGAAAAAGAGGAAGACCCTCAAGGAGATGGATTGACACAGTGTCTGCAACAATGGGTTCAAACATAGCAATAGTTGTTAGGATGGTGCAGGACCAGGCAGTGTTTCATTCTGTTGTATGTGGGGTCACTATGATTTGGAACCAATTCAACAGCACGTAACAGCAACAATCCTAAAGTACAGATGAGAACTTTAAGGTGCAAAGAGTTTAAGTGAAGGGTAGTGAAACAATACGGGTAGAGACAGTGAGAATGGTGACACATTGTAAAGGGTATATAACCTTTGTCATTGAACTGCATGTGTAAAAACTGTTAAATGGGTGCATGTTTGTTGTATATATTTTCAACAACAACAACAACAACAAAAATGAGTTCCTTAGTGGATAAGACCTAGGAAATGGCAGATACTAAGAATACCCAAAAAAACCCATTGCCATCGAGTTGACTCGACTCGAGCCCTTTCCAAGGAGCGCCTGGTAGATTCAAACTGCTGACCTCTTGGTTAGCAGCCGTAGCACTTGACCACTACACCACCAGGGTTTCCATACCAAGAATAGACATTAGCAAAAAGGAGGTGAGTATAAAGAAATAGAGAAAAAGAATAGAAGAGAAACCTTCCATCTTAGTACGTACAGCCAAGTGACCGTTTTTCAGTATAGTATGATTAGCACGATGGTAACATTTTCAATGTTAATAAGCAAGTTAAGACTACACAAAAGATAGCTCAGTTTTGCCACATCATCACTTAGTACTACTACTGGTAAAGAAAAAACAACCAGAAAATTACTCTGCACCTTCTACATGAAAGTCTAGACTTTTAGAAAATAAATTTATTTCGTAATAAAGTTGATTTCCTTAGCAACAATGAAACTCATTACAATAAAAGAAAATTTAAAAACTAAAAATAAGGTTGGGTAAAATATTATAATTTTTTAAATTACCTGGAATACTTCACCAAACGCTTTAACCTTTTGTTATACTGTTTTTGTTTA